GATTTTCTTACTTTTGCATTACAAGAAGGTTGTTTTCAAAAGGCTTGATAAATTGAGTGATTTCTATACCTTTTTGCATAAAATTTGTTACTGGTTTTATTTGAATGTTGTTTATTATTGGAAAGAAATCAGTTATTTACTTAAGGGTTTTATTCGAATAAAGGGTAATCGGATTGTCTAAATCGGACAAAGCTTGTCCGGATTATTCTTAAATCGGACAAGGGTTGGGCGATTAAGCCCTAAACCGGTCAAGTGTTAAGCGGTTTAGTTTTAAACCAGTCAAGCATTGAGCGATTTATGAATGTTAAGTATAGTAAACATTTTGAACGGAGAAGTATGAATACGACCATGTGGTGACCGGATTGTTTTAAATCAGACAAGTCTTAGGCGATGTAATGTCCGGACTTGTTATTCGGACAAAAGTATTAGAAATGATTCCAAGTGTTAAATCGGACAGGGCTTGGGCGGTATATTGTCCGGATTTGGTAAATCGGTTAAAACTTGACTGGAGATGAAGTCCGACCAAGCCAAGTTGACCGGATTTGTATTATGCCTTGTGCTTGATTGATGAAAATTGTTATATTATCATAAAATGGAAAAATTGATATAAATGATTTTGGATTGATAATAATTCCATTGACTGCAGTCTATTTGGAATTGTTTTTGTAAAATGTTTTGATGTGGAAATAAGGGTGGCATATCAAGGAGAGGTGTACCATGGGATAAGGGTGGCATATCAAGGAGAGGTGTACCATAGGATAAGGGTGGCATATAAAAGAAAGGTGTACATTTGATATAAGGGTGGCATTTGTATGTGTGTTGTATGATATAACTCTTTCTATTATATCCCTTAAGACTACCGTGGTCTGAAATCTTTATTTCTTTGTGATTTAAAGATTTAAGATCAAGGTTCTTATTGGAAATCATAGTCTGGATGTTATTGAGGAGAAAATAATAGGTTTGGCCTGAAACTTTAAATAAACCTTGTTTGATTAGAAAAGGTTTAAAAGTGGCATTATATGAAACCTGGTTGGTTCAAAGGTATGTTATTTGAATAATATGAATACTTGGCATTGAAAAGTGGAAAGGTACTGGTATTATGTTCCTATTTGTTCATATATTTGTTATATATATGAAAAGTTGTTTTTCATAAAGATTTTGGTGATTTCCACCCTGCAATAACATAAATAGGATAACTCACTAGACCTTTCGGTCTAACCCTCGTTTTGTGATTTTAACTATGTATTGAAGGAGGTACGGACAGTAAGGGAAAGGGGGAAAATGTGATATTTCCTATATGCATTTCTGCATGAAGAACTGTCTTTGATGTACAGTTTTGATTGATTAACGTTGATTAGTACAAGAAACGTATTTGAATTTTTGGACCTTGTATTATGTAACGATAGATTCTTGTACTAAGGGACCTGAATGGTATATAAACATGTATTTCTTCTGTATAAAATATGTGTTACATGCAATATGTGGTATGGGGTGTTACAGGTGGAAGCCATGGCTTGCCATTCCAATGATACTAAAACAGTTGTTAAGTTTTTACAAAAGCACATATACACTAGATTTGGTACACCTCGTGCCTTAATTAGTGATGAAGGCACTCATTTCATAAACAACATCTTGATAAATATGACATCAAGCACAGGGTAGCAACTGCCTACCATCCTCAGACCAACAGATTAGCTGAATTGTCAAATAGGGAGATAAAAGGGATTTTGGCCAAAGTAGTCAGCCACATGGAAAGGATTGGGCCTCTAAGTTAGATGATGTGTTATGGGCCTACCTGACTGCTTACAAAACCCCTATTGGTATGTCTCCCTATAAATTGGTCTTTGGAAAAACTTGTCATTTACCTGTGGAATTAGAGCACAAAGCCTACTGGGCCATTACAGAACTTAACATGAGGTTAGATGAGGCCGGAAGAAAAAGGACTTTGCAACTTTGTGAATTGGAAGAGCATAGGAATTTTTCCTATGAAAAATGCTAAGCTATACAAAGAAAATACCAAAAATGGCATGATAAAAAGATTCTTCCAAAAGAGTTCACAGAAGGCCAAAAAGTCCTATTGTTCAATTCAAGGTTAAAATTATTTCCTGGAAAGCTGAATTCCAGATGGACCGGGCCTTTCATGGTTGCCAAAGTATACCTCTATGGAGTAATTGACTTAATAGATTCGGAGAGGGGTACTACTTTCAAAGTAAATGGGCAAAGGGTAAAATCTTTCTTTGAGTCCATGATTGTTACACAATCTATTGAGGTTATTTTTCTAACATAATAATTTATTGTAAATATTAGTCTTTATAAATATATTTATAGGATATTATTTTATTTTGCATTTTTATTTCTAATTTTTAGATAAAATTTAATTTTATTTTCCTTTATTCTAGATGTAACGCCCCATACCACACATTGCATGTAACAGGTACTTCATACAAAAGAAATACATGTTTATATCTCACATTGGTCCCTTAATACAAGAATCTTCCAGTATAAACTACATGGTCCAAAAATTCAAAATACAAATTCTTGTACTAATCCACGTTCATCTACCAAAACTATACATATCATCATCCATTCTTCATGCAGGTAAACATATAGGGAAATTATCACATTTTCCCTTTTCCCTTACCTTTAGCACTTCCAGCAATACATATTTAAAATCACAAAACGAGGGTTAGACCGAGAGGTCTAGTGAGTTACCCTATTTATGTCATTGCAGGGTGAAAATCACCAAAACTTTTAAATATAACAACTTTTCATATACATAACAAATATATGAACAAGTGAGAACACAATATCAGTACCTTTCACCTTTCAAGCCAATAATCTTTGCTTGTAAATAATACATCAAATCCAGACTGGTTATATTAACCAAATTAACATAGTGCCACTTTTAAACCTTTTCATTCAAACAAGGCTTATACAAAGCTTCAGGCCCAACCTGTTATCCCCTTCTCTATAACATTCAGACTATGATTTCCAATAAGAACCCTGATCCTAAATCACAAAGAAATATAGATTCCAGACCACAGTATTCTTAAGGGATATGATAGTAAGAGTTATATTATATATCACACACATACAATTGCCACCCTTATATCCAAATGTACACCTCTCCTTGATATGCCACCCTTATCCCATGGTACACCTCTCCTTGATATGCCACCCATATT